TATGAACCAATGCATGGTATTATAGATACAAAGAAATTCTATTAAATAAAAATTAAATTAAAATAATTTATGTCAATTTTCATTAACAACTTTAATTTGCACAAAAAATATTAATTTATAATTCAAAGTTATCATTTAAATATTCTTAAATTGATTTTTTCAAAATTGACTACAGAACTCATGTTGAATTAAAATAATTTTGAATTCAGAAAAATTATGCTCTAGATTATATTAATAATGTTGGTAGCAATAATGTTTTTTTTATCAAATTATTTACAGATTCATATGTCTCTTAGCTAGATCATTACGTCAAGTAATGTACAAAATAAATATATCAAATTTATCTAAAAAGATGATAAATAAAATATTATTATGTTTTTGTATAGATTTTGTTTTTTTTAATTTTACAATATGAAAAGAAACTTAATAAATATTAATATTACAAAAATTAATAATTATACATGCTTTTTTTGTAATTATCAGGCAACTCATCTAAGTGTATAATTAAATAGTAAGCACGTGTATTAAACTTATTTCTATGTGAAAAAGTTGTTATTGAAATAATAACAAAATTGTTATTAATTGGAAAATAATTTTTTTCTTAAATTTAAGTAGTTATTTTAATTAATTACAGCTGCAGGTTTTTTTGTTGGAACTTTAAAAAAATATCAATTATTACACACCAAAATTTAATTAAACTTTAATATGTTTTGAAAATTATTACTTAATTAACACGACAGTAGATAATATACAAGAGTAGATAATAATTTCAAAACATTTCACAAGAAAATGATTACATCTAATTATGTACTATTCAATTCGATATAATTGTTGTACAAAGAGTTTCATATATTAAAAACCAATTAGTAATCAAAAAATAAAAATAATATTGAGTATTTTTTATTTGAGTTAAAATATATTAGAATGCCTAAGTGAGAGGAAGGTGTGCCCGGTAAATTACTAGTGATAAAAATAACAACACCTTCGTCTTGTCTCCAGCCATCACTATAAAATGTTAACAACTTCCGAAATACTGGTCCAGAAATTGTTATTATTTTCTAGTTATCTATTGAATAAGTTAGTTAATTATGTATGCTGTCTTTTGTAAAAATAAAGTTTGATACCCTTATAAAGTGATGGGACAAACTAAAAATATTTCGTAGCGATTTAAAGTAAACATCGTAGCTAAAATTTAAGTTAGCAAAAAAAAATAACCCCCGAAATTATTTACTGATTGCATCACTGAATACATAAATTGTACACTTATGTAAACGTAGAAATTATTTTTATTTACAACACAATAAGCGTAGTTATTTTTACACAAGGAAGTAAGCATTTATCATACTTGCAATTATATTATTTATAACTAAATGTGTTAATCATACCTATGTACTAGGATGAACCTAATTTAACCAAATTACTAAGTTGTTCATATTATTATCGACAAGTATTCATTAATAAATGTCAGATTATAACATCTAGTACAACTATTAAACTAATTAAGTTGATGTTATCAATTTTAACACAAATAACTTGCTTACTGACAGACTTTTGCTCTTTGTTACGTTTTTATCTTAAAATGATATTATCTTACTATAGAAAGTAACGTATCCAATATTTGCTATCTCATGATGAATAAATAAGCAAATAATTTTGTACTACAAGTTATACATGTATACATCAGATCATTTCTATCTAGTATTGATATACTAATTTAATTAGTATTAAGAATAGTTCAACGATTTTATTTTTTGTTGATATGTAAAATAAAATGTAGTATTTTGGTATGCTTTATAATATTATTTGGTTGTGTTCTAAAAGAAATCGAACGCACCACATAAGTAAAGAATTATTTTTTAAGAAAATAAATAATTTTTAAAAACTATGTCTATAGGAAATTTTGTTATCATTTTCAAATAAATATTTTAAAACTTCACCGCAGATATAATTTTAAATTTAAATTCAAATGCTAAAAAGATGAAACAAAGCAATAATATTTTCAAGTTATCTCTTTTTAGTGCTGACGCAATGCAATCTTTAAATCGTCCCCATGTTCTTTTCATTGTGTTTCATGGTTTTTCTATTATTTTGCTACCTTATTTTTTACTGGCTTAGTTTATTGCTGTCAAATGTAAAATAAAAACATATATAACGCACATTTAGCTAAGAATTAACTCTAAATCAATGTATTAATTAATAATTGCGTCTAATAGTTGACAATTAATAATATTTTTTTGTTTTATGACAAATCTCGAAGTACATAACATGAAGGTTAAATAAATATTAGTAATAAAATTTCAACATTACTACTAATATACAAATTTTTATTGAATATAAGTAATTTTAAAATGCCGGTTAATTTATTAATAATTTTTCAATACAGTATGTTAAAGTTACTCTTAACTTTTCTATTAATTTACTATATAAATAAATAATATAAATATTATTTATTTAACTATATATAATCCATTAATACAAGACATTATTTAGTTTCAATTTGAAATCGACAAATTGATTTTGAATTATTTTTGCATACTCTCGAAACTTATATTAAGCAGTGTAAGAGATCTTAATTAAAACTAATGTTTTCTAAATCAAACAATTTGAATTCATTAATTACAGAGGAAAAATAAGCTTTAATAAAACGTTATGCTTAAAATATTATCATTTGCAAGTGTCAATATTTTTTAAAATAGGAGATAATATTATTAATTTGAAAGATTTTATTTCTACTGTTTTCAAATTCAACCAATAATTCATCAAATCTACGACACACGCAAGTAGATATGTTATTCCTAAAAGTTCAATTTTATTTTATTTATAGTCTTAATGTTAACTATGACACCGATTGTTCGTAAATTGTATACAATGTTAATTGCAAATTCTTTTTTGATACACTTAAATTTGTTTTTAATCTAATGATAAGTGGGAAACTTTGAAGGCTACTTTTATAATAGGAAATGACATTAATGTGAAACTAATTATATACCGCTATTATAATGCATTCGTATATGTATAACTTGTGTAAAAAACACTAGAGGAAACGCTTTAGGTAAGATACATTATTTTTTAGTTTTACAAGTTTGTGAATAATGTGTTTTAATTATATTGTGTCACTGGTAACCAAAGAAGTTTTACTCTCCTCAAATAACAATTATCACCTTAAAAGTTTAAATAATGAATAAATTATAACATGTATTCGAGTTAGTATTTTTTTAATTTTAAATCTAAATCAATGACTTGGATTTGACATAAAATCAATTAGTTTATTCCATATATTAAGATAATCAATTATTACTAAAGTAATGTAATTTTTAAAGTGTAATTATTAGTACTTTGGTATGTGAAAGCGATAGACAAGTGTCAAGAAACTAGTAAGTGTTTAAAAAAATTAAAAACAGTAATTATAGGCTATTGGTATCTTACAGCAAACACAATAATTCCAGTTTTTTAGTAGGAGGGTTAGTGTTTTTAAAGAAAAGTTTTACGTGACTACCAAATTGAATTTTAATCAGTTATGTTTTGTTTTATTAATATAAATATATATATTAACTTTGATCTGGCCTGTAAATTTCATAAATTGGTAAATTATGATCTCTTTCAAATTTCACTAGTTTTTCGACGTGTATTTCTAATAAAAAAAAATATTTTTAAGTTTTATAAATGTAACGCTTTTGGAATTTTAAACAGAAACCCGTTTCTAAAAACGTATGCTATTTTATTAGATCTAAAATGTATTTTTATTATTGGGTAATTGTTACGTAATATTTTTAATATTTTATAAATGGTCGTATTGTTTTAAACGCATAATCTGTAAATGTAATATTTTTGTTAGCCAAAGCGTGTTAAAAAAAAATAAGAACATAATATATTTGTTCATTGGTACTGAGGTCTAATCCTAACGCTCACGAGATCAGTTATTTTTTAATCTTGTCTGATCTATAATGTTTTTTATAATTTATGAAAGAACTGGGTTGTTTTCTTACTAAATAAAAACACTGACCTAATATTATAAGTTTTTTCCCGAGTACAAAATTAAAGCGTCAGAATGATACCTACGTGGATAATTATTTTTGGCGTTCTTATGTTGTTGCGTATGATTAGTTAATTACTACGTATCTCGCTAAATAAGCGTAATATGTTATTGTAGGGCATTCAACTAATTTTGGGTAAGGCAAATGGAATAAAACTAGAAAAAGTGTATAATCAATGGAGTATTGTGGTGAATAAGTTCCATCTAAAACCCATTGGTCCGTATTGTACACTAGTGTACCTACCGCAAGTTGCAATGTGTTGGTTTTAAGGCGGAGGTAGTGGTGGTCGTGGAAACATAATAACATGACGGCAAAATGCAAACAACTCGCCTTGAGTATCCAACGTAAATACACATTTTAAGTGACCTTTTCTTTGCGTACGCCTTAACGACAGACGTACACAAATAATGATGACGAGCTTACGAACAACAAACTTATTATGATCGTAATAATGATAAAACAGTTTGTTTACGATGAAATCCTCGCGGAATTCTTCCTCGTATCATTTGAACGGGTGATTATGTAATTATTATATCACAACAACTGCTTTGTTATCGTAACTACTCATACGGAGGGACGTTTGGTTTATTAAATTGATCTTACTGGATGAGAGTCCAGCTAGTTACCCGAGTCGCTCCCCAATCATGTAAACCGGACAAATGCAAGTAACCCGAAAGAGATCATTTAGTTTAGTACTGAGATGCAGTTTTTAACGAAATTTACTCACGACACAATCTAACGAAAATACGTTTCGAAAACTCATAATTTACTAGTGAAACATCAATTATTTGTGATTAAATAATACAAATAATAACGATCATGTGGTGGTGGTGGTGGTATTTGAAAACCACAAAACGGTTGCTCTACACGGTTGTCGGACGCGTGCACCGGTTACTATGGTGACTGTAAAGGCACAGACAGCCACTAGAACGGCGGCGGCGGCGGCGATCAACTCAAACAACGCGTGTCTCAGGGCACAGTCTGAATCGAGTGACCAGTCGAAACGCTCTCTGCTCGCGTCTCTCGTTTGCAGTGTAGGAGTGTGTTGTTTACGCGACAGTTCTCATTAGATTAGCTCGACAATAATTCAAAATTATTTATCGTTTCGGTTTTCCACAGTCGGAGGTGACAGCGGTTCGTATTGTTCGTTATACTTTTAGAACTGAATAACATTTCTCGAATAAACCATTACCTCTCAAATTTAAGTTCATTGAAAACGATTAAAAAACATTTTGAATAAATGACTCATCTGTAGCGACAATAAGTTGATATTGCACAGTTCCATCGAGGTATTGTAGTAATAGTATTTAAGTAATTTTTGTTTGAATTTAACTAAGCTATTTAACCGTGTAAATTCAAATCGTATTTGTAAAATTAAAGGATCGTATCTTAAAATAAGCCTATTGTAACCTGTATAAGTAAAGCCAATCGCTCAGAAAACAATAAATGTTTAATGATATTGAAAATAAGTTAAAAAAAACAATTTTTGAAATTTGATTTAAATTGTAATTGGCCCTCTTACAAAGAAGGAAATGGTTTGCACCTTTAACCCTAGACCCTCTTGGTCCAATAACTAGTGTCATGTTGTATCATCAGTTATTGTACTAATGTAAAATAAGAAATTATAAATTACGAATAATGATTTAAAATGTAAAACAAGAGTGATGAGTCTATTGACCCAACTTACATGTATTTATTATATAGCTATATACATAGACACTATTGATATGTATTATTAATTAATTAATTCAGTTCAATGTAAAGCTTCCTTCGATAAATGCGAGTACGTTTAATAAAAACCATCAATATACTCTTTTTGTTTTTTTCATAAGCTATATATTAAAAATGACAATTTATGAAATTGCAAAAAACACGCAAGTACTAATTATACTGAAATTCTGTATTTCGTAAAAAATATTTTGGGGAAAATACAGTGTATTGCATAATACATTTATACTGGTTCTTAATACGGGAGAAATAAAATTTATAGCAAAATTGTGCAATATAAAATGGATAAATAAAGAAGAGAGTTTTTATTATTAAAAATTTATGTAGATATGTTTAATGGGAACATTAAGTTGAAAGTCAAAATTTTAATGAAAATTTTACTATTAAACATAAATCATTATTTATCATTATTGATGATCTCTATAAAAATGATATTTCAATGGTAAACAATTTTCCCTTGGCAATTCTAAAATTTTACTAACATATTTTACAATGCTTCCAAGGGCAACAATGAAAAATGGGTTTGTGACAACAGAAAGACCTATTTTTTAATAAAAAAAGTTCACTGTAGCAATATTTGAGGTATAAGTTTTATTATTCGCTTCGAGGTGCACTCAAAAAATTAGGGCTTTTGGCAATTTTCCATTTTGAAATATAAATTTTAAATACACGTTAGAATAATTGAATATATTTATTTGAATTTTCAATATAAAATGACTACTATACTGTCTGGTTGATTTTTTAAAACTGATGTTCATCAATTTTTTTTCTGCGTGTAATCCAGTAAATACTTATGTGTATGTCAATTGAGTTAAATTTGGATATTTCGCCGTCACAACACAGTTGGTTTTATAAATAAATAAGCTAATAGTGTGCCCACCATTTTGTTTTCGTGATGGATGACCGCGTGTATCAATCAAAATCATTGTTACTTGAATGCAATTTTTCAAGTTCACCGCTATGATAAAATAAAGTAGAATCGGCAAACTACATTAAGTTAATTTTATTTTACTATTCTTATTAAATACTTTTCTTTGGGTAGACTATCAGAAAGTCTATTGGTTTTTTACTATTTTCAAGTTCAACTTTTATCGAGTAAATTTTTGATATTAATCTAGTAATGTCGTGTCAGCAAGTCAGTACATACAGGATATTTAAAAAATACGATCATATTTGTAGTAGCTAGTTCAGTATCTCGTTTTCCTTGGTCGCTAATAAAAATGTAAGTAACTTTTGTTATTATTGGTAAAGTGATATGATAATCGCAGTAATTATCATTTTAGATAAACACGCTTTTTGGGATAAATTCAAACATAATCATATTGAGTGTATTAATTTAGACTCTTAAAAAATAACATGATCATTGAATTGTTGACTTTTATTGCATAAAAAACAATTGTAATATTGAACATTGAATCATAAGAATTTGCAACAAAGAAAAATATGAATTTGATGGACCTGTGTTATTCCTGTTCACGATAAAACAAATAATACTATTTGTTGACTTGTTAAATATTTTTCTGACAAATTGAATATGATAACATAATCTATTTTCTATTATGTTTTCTTAAAATGTTATGACGATTAATCATAAAGTTAAAAGCTTTATGCAAACATGGAATTTAGATTTTAATATTTATTATAAATCATATAAGTATTTTTGTAAACAATAAAGTATAAACTACACATAATCTACACTGTTAGTTGTAGTTATTTAATTAGATTAAAGTTCAAGCTTTAAACAACTATTTGAATTAAAATTACTTTCAATGCCAATATTTTTTCGTATACAAATATTGGGCAATTATTGTCACATTATAAATATTTGTTTAAAAAACATCCATAAAGACTTAAAATTAATACATATTTTTAAATTTTAACTATCGAACACGAGGGGAAGACTATAAAATCAAGTAATAAAAGCTGTCTGAACAAATTTTTATTTACTTTTTCGTATACTTTTTTCTTTAAATTTTAATTTTAATATGACAAAAAACCGTTCTTTAATCTCTTAACGTCTATGTTAAAATATATATACATATACTCAGGAATAATTCTTATTATTCGTGTAATTAATGTTGGTATTTTTAAATGAATTACAAATCGTTTGGGTTCGTTTACCTCATATCCTTCAAAAAAATTATTAAAGTATAACTCGGACTCTAAATATTAGTCTACGGGATTAATAATCTTTCTGATATTTCATAAGGTTACAAAAATAATACTACGTTTAGAAAAACTAGTTTTTCCTATCAATCATTGTGTATTAAAAATATGTTAATTACGCTTGTGCAGATTACGTATAAGATTTAATTGGAAAGACAAGTAGAGTCAGCATTATCACTTAGTAGAGTTGATGTTTATGAAAAAGGCGTTATAATATTATAGTTGTTTAATTTTATATTGGCTAACAATATTTTACCACATAGATAATGTGTTCATAATTTCTTATAATCTATTTTCTTAAGTCAAATTGGGGTTCTCGTAGAAATGCGTTCAGAATTGTGTTGATGTGTCATTTATTTTTACAAAAATAAGCCAATAAATAAATAAACACTCGTGATCTTCGGATACACTTTCCTGCTTAAAGCATTAATTTTTATTTCAATGTTATATGACGCATGGGTTGGCACATTCTTTATAAATCCTATTATATTGACAACCATTGCGTTCATCAGAGTATCTAGTTTTTATGAAATTAATAAATATATAATTAATAACTAACTAATGATCAATTTTGTATCTACATGTTTTTTATTAGGATTTTTAACAGTCACTTCTATGTATGTCCTTATCGTTGAATTAATGAGCGAATGAACATAATTTTTACATTATTTTTCTTGGAATATCGTTAATATATTTAATTGTGAATTACCAGCTTACTCAATGAAATGAAGCAATTGGAAGTATTAAGTTTAAGAAAATTTAATTTGTTTCTGAAATAATGTTTTATAAATGAGTAAGACATCGTATAAGATGTATAATTATAATACTACAGTAGTATTTGAACCGTTAGTATAAATCGCCTTGATAATAATCTTAAATTATTATATATTATACGTAGACGCCACTCGATAAAAAATAAGTTACTTAATACATACATTTACAAATTACAATTTTAAAATTATAAAAAAAAGTTAATTATTTTATACTAAGTTTTTTAAAGCGCTTCATTAACTTTTATAAATAAAAGTATTTGAAATGTTTTACCAAATATAAATGTGGAAATTATTATATTTGTTTTATTAAATATACGTTTTTTTTGTTGAATACTTAATATAATTGATATAGAAATATTATATTTATATTTATAACACGAATATTAAAGTACGATAAAAAATTTACTTTACCAACTTATAGTCTAACTTCAAAAGAAATCTCAAATTAAACGTTTTCATAACTTGATCTTTAGGAATAATGAAAAAACGTTAGAATAGTTTAATTTTATTTTTTAAGTATTTGTCCAGCGTAGAAAATAATTGGTTTAATATTTATTCAAATAAGCATAAAAAATTTTAAAAATTATTTTGTTTAATAAAATAAAAATTTTAAATAAAACTTTCTCAATTTCAAGTCGAATGCATTTCAACATTACAATCTAGAAGTTTATTAGAAACTAAATTAAATAGTTGTTTAAGGTGACATGGTAAACATCATTACATTACATATATTTCCATTGTCTAGGTAAATTATACAAACATTACTACTTAAAAAAGTATTACGTTTCAGAAGTTGACTATTCTACTATCTCCATAATAAAAACTATTATTATTACAAAAATTACAAATGTATTTATTAAGAATAAATAAAGAAAAACCTAAATAAGTTCTTAAGAGTTCAATTTCAAAATTTACATTATTTTTATTTAAAATTTATTTTTCTCCTAAAAAAAGATTTAGTCATTTAATTTCTATGACATAAAGAAAAGTAACCTTTAAAATAAATCAATATTTAATTAATTCTGTAATCTTACACAAATGAATCGTGGTAATTATTAATTCATATTACCTATTGTATTGAAAGGTAATATATTAACGGTGTTTTTTTCTTGAAGTTATTTGTTTCCGTAGTAGATTTCCGGTGTCTTTTCTATCTTAGATCTAATTATTACTTTCAAGCAGAGAGTTTACCATTTTTATTTAATTTGGCATTAAAAAAAAAAAAAAATACAATCATAATTTCTTATAAGGCGATGTGAATTATTTAAAAAAAAATGTAATATAACTGTTTAATTCTATTGACGAATTGTTGTGTTTTCAAATGTATTATTATATTAAAAATAATGTAAACTGAAAAAATGAATTTACAAGTAGTAAATAATGTGTTGAAAAATTGATAGAAGACCTTGCAAACAGTGTGGTAACTGAAAAACAATTATAATAAAACGAAAGGACACCCCATAAGTTTTCCAAAGCCACAGTTGCTTAAAAACTTTTTTTTTTACTGACTTAGTATTACTATGCATGTCAAGGATCGGTGTATTTACCGTGTTACCAGACTATTTTCACCTATTGTTTTCATCAGTAGTCGTGATAGTGTATTTTAAATACTAATATTAATT